GTTATTCACATTATGGGTTATATGCTGCTTTCTCATGGCAGAACTCCCACTGATGTCACAGGGAGTGGCACAGGGAGTTGAGTTTTAATGATAATACAAGCATAATGTTTGCCTATTGTACAAAGATGTTAAGAGGATTGTGGGATTCCAATAATTATAAGTTTAACTATGTGTTTATGTTTTCTTTATCATTGTGGCAAGCAAAAGCCTATCAAATTTGAACAGAAATGCTTGTGACTTTAGTTATTTTGTTTCAAATGTGTGAATTTGAAAATGCTGTAGATTTTGGCCAAATCCATAATTTTGTTGAAGTCAATTGAGCATTTGGTCTTTTAATTTGAAGTTTTGTTTCATCGTGACATTGAAAATATTATTTTACAAGCCTCCTCCATTCTCTCTGCTCTTCAAGGAAGAGCCAAATTCTGTGCTGGTGCTGACAATCTAGCATGGCAAATAGGGTAGTGGGACCTTAAAAATGAACACTTTGGAAAAAGAACCTTGCTGGCATAGGCCACGGTTCCATAAATTCCAAAATTTGTATCTGGAACTACATCTGTATCTGCAAAAATGAGCCACAGATATCTGCATCTACATCTTCAGATGCAGATACCTATGGATATAAAGTAGCTCTATCCATAAGACAATTCAAAGCACTCTTTACTACTTTTCTCAGTAGAAGTGATGCATAGGACCAATGTCCATAGGCTTTTAGTTTTGATAACTGCTTTCATGCTATCTAAAATGATAGACGTGTTCCTTGTCCTGAAGTCTATGCCTTCTGAGAACATGATCCGAAGCGCAGTAGGTTAACTGGGAGTCTCCTTTATTGATCCCTTTGGACACTTACCTCTTGGCTGCATGTAGACTGGCAAGTTTTTCCGCAAAAGCAGTCGCTTTTGCGGAAAAACTTGCCAGCTGTCTACACTGACCGCTTGAATTTCCACAAGAACACTGACAATCTCATGTAAGAAGAAATGCGGAAATGCGGAAATGCTATGCTGCTCCCGTTCGGGCAAAAGCCCTCTTGCGCAAATGCTTTTGCACAAGAGGGCCAGTATAGACAATGCGGTATTGTTTTACGCAAAAAAGCCCCAATCGCAAAAATGGTGATTGGGGCTTTCTTGCGCAAAACCACGTCTAGATTGGCACGGACACTTTTCCGCAAAAAGTACTTTTGCAGAAAAGCGTCCGTGCCAATCTAGACGCTCTTTTCCGCAAATGCTTTTAACGGAAAAACTTTTCCGTTAAAAGCATTTGTGGAAAATCATGCCAGTCTAGACGTAGCCTACAAGTTTACTGCACTGTTTGTGTGGCCTTCTGTGGCTGCCTACATTAACTCAATAGGCTGAGTTGTGGAACTGTTACTCCCACAAGTAGTCCCATTGACTTCACTGGGACTTCTCTCTTGCATAAATGCTAACCAGTATGAGTAAGGATTGTTCAGTCTTCCTATGCCATTATACTCAGTGGCAGGAGTTAGCCAAATGTCAGACAAGCTAATTGGACTTTAGAGGGCACATTTTTAGTGTATAGAGGCTCTGGTGCATGCACTAAATATACTCATCACAGCCTCCATGTATGGAAGTCCTTGTCAGGCGGGCTGGAGGTAAAGGGTTGTTGCCCCTTTAAGAGCCACCCCTTAGCACAGGGGAACTAGTGGGATGAGTAAAGGGATGGACAGAAAGGGCAGAAAGCAGCTGGGCCCACAGCAGAGTGACTAGAATACTGAGAGGACATTTACAGCCCATGCAGCTCCAGAAAAACCCTCTTTTACCAGGCTCGAGTTGATAGCACCTATCCACCCATGAAATTTGCAAAAGGATTAGGTTCCCTCATGACCCATTGTGAGCATTATGCAGTTGGCCCTTTTCCTTGGAGCCTGGAAAGGAATTTTTCCCTACCTGTTGGGTTGCGTGGGTGAGATATTTTCACCTTTCCCACAGTAAGTCTGGGACCCAGTAGGATGGGTAAGGGGGGCAGATTTTAATGTCACAACTTAATATGTAAAATAGGGTTACCATATTTGAACTTTCAAAAAAGAGGACACTGCTGAAAGGGAGAGTATCTGTATCCGTATCTACCAAATCACATTGTATAAATGTGCTGTACAGTATAACACATTAGTGTAATGTGAGTTGGTAGATACGGATTTAGATACTCTCTCTCTCAGGAGTGTCCTCTTTTTTGAAAGGTCAGATATGGTAACCCTAAAAAACCTTTGGTAGAAGTCCTGTGTGGAAACTCAGTATGGAAGGGATGTGTTTATCGATAAAATGGATTTGAAGAAAAGCATTTTGTAAGACAGCTGAAAAAGAGGAGGTTGGGTTCTGACATCTTGTTCATTGGAAAGCCTTTTTTTCTTTTTAGCCTTTTTAAAGGATATAAGAAAGGGGGTCTTGGTGCTCTGACATCTGGAGTAGTGGGGAGCTGAACTCCCTTGCACCTCATGCAAGGTCAGGATAGTGAATAAATTTGTGGCCTAATTAAACCACATCCATTGCCTCCTGTCTTACTTCCAGCATGGCTGGACAAGTGATACAACTGCCCCAAAGGAGTAACCAGCTTCTAAACACAACTGCCTGTGCAAGTAGGTAACTGCATGTGCAGTAGATGCCCAGATTTTTATGTGCACCAGGGCTTCCATTCTACTGAAATATGTAAGTTATGTTAGGCAAATATGTAAGTTATGAGGTTTTATGAGGTATGCATTTCTGTTCTACGTGTAAATGCGTTTTGTTGATAATATTTTGTGGTGCTGTTGTAGACAAATATCTTTATCTTTCTTGGCTTTTTTATATAAATAAAGAAGCCAAGAAAAAGGGGAAGGGGCAGTTTAGTGGAGAGAAGGGAGAGGGGGAAAAGTTGAAAGAGGGAGAGGGGGAGGGGAAGAAAGCGAGAGAGAATAAAGTTTTTATTTAACTAGTAGTTTTAAGGAAATGTCTAAAAGTTGGTAAAGTTAGTGTATATTGGGAGTGACTTATACTATTCTGGTGCATGTCTACATTTGGCAGAAGGAGCAAGGAGTGAAAGCTATTTGCCCATATTCTAGCCCTTTAAGGCTATGGCTACACTATGAGTTTTGCCACAAGAGTCTATGCAAATGAAGCGTGGATTAGCGTTTTCTCATGCTTGATTTGCATACTCGCTTTCATTCTCTTTTTGCGCTAGGGGTTTTTGCGCAAAAACAAGCAGTGTGGATGTTTCCTTTTTGCACAAAACCCCCTTTTTCCGCAAGATCGGTATACCTCCTTTTTTGAGGCAGAGGGCCGCAAGATCGGTATAACTCCTTTTTTGAGGCAAAGGGGGTTTTTTTGCGCAAAATGGATCCATCTACACTGCTGAGGTCCTTGGGGTTGTATATGTATCATCCCTGTTGTTCAGATTGATCCTACTATTAGGAATCAGTTAGGCAAAAGAGCTAGGTTTGGTCTGTGTTGGACAGAGCTCACATTAAAACTGTTTTAGTAGTATGCTGCATGTGCCTGCCTGAGGATGCATTCCTCCTGTTTTCAGATATCATCACCATTTGGCCTTTTAAATATAAAGTATGAGCAAATATATTTATTTACAAAATCCCGTTAAGACATATGTAGAAAAGGCATGCATCAAACTGATTTTGCTTAACATAATGCCTGTTCGTTAACCTATAATTCACTTGACTGATAGTATTTCAGCTTCTATGTTTTTGTTCCTTTGCCAAAATAAATCTTTTATTCCTTTGCCAAAATGAAATGGTAGTCCTCCACCAATGGCATGAGAGAATTGGGTGATGAAATATTACAGTAAAAATGTGAATTCATAACTACACTGCTCTCTGATTAATCGCTTTGATTTTGAAGTGAATGCACAGAGGATTACTTCTATGAGTGGTTTGACAATGGCTATGAAATATTAACACAGTTCCCTGGTATTTTAGATTCTGTACCCTTACTATATTTTTCAGTTGCACAAGGAAACATCAATACAGTAGATCAAACATAGTAAAATCAAACGAATGATAGCTGAAACATTTATTCTATAATGTGAAACACGGTATCATTAATAAGAATGTTAAATGTCCACACACATAAATTCAGATAATTTGCTTATCTCCCAAATGCTGGAAAAAGTAGAGTCGGTCTGTATTTCTTATGCAATCTATTTTATTACATTTACTCTTGTGGTAAGTCAACTCTGATGATACTGTGGGAATATAGGAAAGACAGATAGAAACTATACAAATAACAATAGAATAACATTTAATTACATAGAACTTGGCCTAAAATAGAAATTGACTGAGTTCTGACCAGAGTTTAGATGGCTAGTGGTTTCCTGTGCCAGGAACTACTGTGGAACCCCACCAGGAAGCGTGCTACATAGGAGGATCACATTACATCCTTGTTTTATGGTTCATTTCACTTATTTAATGCAAGTTAAGAACTTGTAAAAGGAACATGTTAAAAAGAGGAATGTAGTTTTTATTCCATTTCTTTTAATCAAAACATTTATTTTTATAAAATTCCTAAACTAATTTATGACAAAATCAACAGCGCTGTAAGCCAGGTTTTACTACAAAAAGCAGTATGTTCCATATTCAGGAAATATCAATAAAAATGCACATTTCTTATTGTTGTACAGCTTATTTTTCTACTTTTAGTAACCCAGGAATATGCTACAGTCTTAAAACAACAAATTTATTTCCTTTCCTTTTATTACTCCAAATGAATTGTAATATCAAATAGTGGTTTATTAAAACAACCTTGACTAAAAAGATTGTTTAGCACACTTACTTACTTATAAAGAATTTTTGGAAAGTGGATGTGCTGCAGCATATATTTTGTTTGACAAAGCTGTCTTCTTAAGAAAGAAAAATGTTTCAAATGCTAACTAGATAATGATTCATCAGTCCTGACAGAGGAACTAATTTTTGTTAATGTACTACTTAAAAATGTGTGGAATGAGCAGCTGGATACCACACTTGTGGCATGCCATACTAAAGCTCTGTCTGTTTTCCCCTACAGTGATCTCAGTATGAACAACATCACTAAGCTGCCCTCGAACCCCCTGCACAATCTCCGCTTCCTGGAAGAGCTGTAAGTATCATTGTATCCTTGATGGGCACAGTCAGCACCAGACACATTCCTATGTTTGTCTCTCATACATACTGTGGGAACCAGATAAAACAGTGCAGGAAAGCTGTCAGCCCTGACACTTTTGGCACATGTGAAAACACTTAGCTGAAAAAACCAATTGATTGTGATTCTGGAAATGAACTTATAAAAAGAGTTACTATAAGGCTACAACTTCTCTAACCAGAGACAGAGCCAAACAAATTAAACATTTTAAACAAGAGCTGTGTAAAAGAGCTGGACAGGTTTTTGGAAATAGTTAAGCAGCAGGATATTAAAAGTTGAATACTGGCTCATGTTTATTAAAATAGCAAGTAAAGCTATAATCAAAACCTTCTGCCCAGTTCTGCCGGTGTCAAGGACAACTGAGTCCACATTTCATAGCATCAAGGCTTCTTGTCCTAATCACTTTTAATTACTGCTTCCTTACTCTTAAATTTAGCATCCCTCAAGGCTGACTGTAAAACACCAAATCCTACAAAGATCTTAGAGCTGGGCCATCCAATGCTTTCTGTAAAAGAAAAACAATATGCAATGCAAAAACTAACTAATGAAACACAGCTTCACTAGAGGAATGGCATTGGAAGGGATGATGACTAAGCATAAGTGAAAGGCACTCTGTGTGCAGGAGATCTCAAGGTGGCAGTGTCTTTAGTTATTATGACCTACACTTAAAAGTCATCTTCAAGCTTTCAGTCCACAAGGTGATGGAGAGTCAATACCTAATGCACCATATACTCTGTGGGAGAGGTTAATATTTGCAATTACGTGAATTCTCTAAAAGTTGATTAATGGGACTGTTTAGGCATCAGCCCCTAATGAAACATAGAATCATAGAAAAGTAGGAGTGGAGGGGACCTTGATAGCCCCTCTAGTCTAGTCCCCTGGGCTGAGACAAGACTAAGTGTTACATCTTAAAATTCCAAAGATGGAAATTCTACAACTTGCCTAAGTAATTTGTTCCACTGCTTAACTACCTTGTATCTTCCTTTATGAGCCCCTAATGCCAGGGTTCCATCTTTTTCACTGATTTTAACTGTTAGTACACCACAAAAACCACATGGGACACTCAAGCTATGTGTACAATACAGGCTTCTTGTACAAGAAGCCTTTTGCGCAAGAGCTTTTGCACAAAAACGTCTTGCACAAGAGCACGTCCACATCTTAAAGCGCATCGCAAAAGTGATGTGCTTTTGCTCAAGAGAGCGTCCAAACTGCATGGACACTCTTGCACAAGAAAGCTCTGATGGCCATTCACAGAATGGCCATCAGAACACCTGTGCTTTTCCCCATAGGAGCATCCACACTTGCCTTTTTGTTCAATAGCTGTAGCACAAAAGGGAGTTATGCCTCGTAGAAAGAGGTTTACCTACACCAGCAAAAGCCCTCTGTTTTGCTGTTATACTGCTGATTTACTTGTGCAAAAGTGCATTTGAGGTATGGATGCTTTGCAGGTTTTTGCGCAAAAACAGCCATTTTTGCGTAAAAACTTTGCAGTGTAGATGTAGCCTCAGGTAAATAAAGTTATGTTGGAACCACCACACACAAAAATTACTTTAAATGTAAAGGAAATGTACAGTAGAGACCCTGTTTTCAGACTCCATTAAGCTAGAATATTACTTCAGAACTATTAGTGTCTTCACTGATGGCCAGTTACATGCTAATACTTCATCCTTCAAGCTGGCATTTCAAAAAGCAAAACAGTGTGAGCGCTAAGAGGCAACGAAATTGCCTTTTCTCAAGCACAGAAAATTAGCTGACACCTCACAAATCACATTGAAACTCCATTTACAAACAGAGGAGGAAAAAAATTATCTTTTTTGTTTTATTACTAGGAGCAGTTGCATGGAAACTAAGTATATCTTTTAAGCTTCATCTGCTCCTTCTACTTACTGGATGTTTTAAGTAATAATCGACTGTGATACTATAATGTGACCACAACATGTGTGCTGTCACCAGCAAAGTATTTTGCTATCAAGTCCACATGAGAGGAATTGTGCCACCAAGACTTCTGCTTCTAGATTTTGCGAGTTAGTTATGTTTGTCCAAGTTTCTCGCAAATGTCATAATCCTCCTAACAGTTCCCAGCCCCAAACTCTTTTCTTTTTCCCAGACACCTCAGAAATAATTGCTTTAGATTTCCTTGTAAACACAGAAGCTGATTCCCTCCATGCAGCAGATTAGTGTGTTCACCAGTTTATACCATCACAGACCAAGGAATATGATTCCAATGGAAAGGTACACGTTCTCTTTTTTTTCTGGGACTCTGTTTTTCCCATTTTGATACACCCTCTCTCTTTCTACAAATTGTTGTTTTGGTTCTATCCCAGAGTTAGGAAGGAGGCACATATGGGGCAAGGCTGTCATTCTTTTCTCTGAGGCCAAGTATATGGCCCCTGGGATATCTCAAGTTTTTATTAGCATGGGACATCAAAATTCTTAGGATCCTCGTGGCTCTGCCTGCACTGCTTTCTGCAGTTCCTGTTGTCCAAGAACAGTGAACCATGGCCAGTGGACATTCAGGTATATAAAGCATCTGGTGGCCTGCCAGCAGTGAACTTTGGTGAATCGTGTCCATCCTGTGGGACACTTATTACTGACTTCTGCCTTATAGCATTAAAAAGAAGGTGTTCTTATTTGAGTCTTGGGACAGCACATGAGATCTTTGTTTAAATGTCAGTCTGTGTCTGTAAGGGGTATTGGCTGGTTAGGAGAGTTAGTGTGTGGGATTGCAGGAGTCTGCATGGATCAGGGACACAAAACGAGAAGAATGATGGAATCTGTATGTGAATATAGGCATTGCTAGGAAAACTTCAATATACTGCCTGAAATTGTTTTAGTTATTAAATGAATGTCTCTATGAAGATTAAGGAAGAAAGGCAGTAGTGATGCCAAAGCTAGTTAGAAAACTGTTGAATAAGACATATCTAGTTTCCTTTCATATACTGAAAAAATAGTTCTTCCTAAACAAAGTAGGGTGCAGACAGGCAAAGGTCCAAGTGATTTTTTTAGTGCTCTACTATTGTTCCACAACTTAAGGCAGGTGCTTTTAGCAAAATAAGAGGGGGGGGGGGAATAAACCCCAAGGGATGTTCTATTACTTTTTTCTACTAAATGATTTCTGAGTAAGACAGTTTCAAATAACACCCATTTGCAAAATTACCTGACAAAGGCACCTTAAATTTAATTCTAGCCTGCCTGCAGGTGCAAAGCAATTTATTGAAGCCTGTATTACTCAAAAAAAAAAAACTTGAAGAGGCTTAGCATCATCTCTGAAGTTTTTCAGTCTGCCCACTTTATTATTATAGCTATTATTGAAGAATTTAGTGTGTGGCTTGTGTGCTTTGAGACATTTTGTCTTTGGGATAGTCAAAATGTACAATGGAAAGCATAAAATTTCAGGTACAATATATTTTACTATTGTAATTTTAAAAAAAGTACACAAATGCAATACAAAATCAGGAACATATGTAAACACTGATTCTCATTTATTTTAAGTCCCTTCATACTGCCAGAATGATGCAAAGGGACCCTTTTGTAAAAGAAAATTACAACTTAAGTTATCAGGACATGGCAAATCACCACTTGTTCATCTTTATTGTTTCCTTTTCCTCTCTTCTCTCATTCTGCTTGTTTTGTCTTTTGGGGGAGAGATTTTTCAAAGGTATAAATGGGATTCACATGCCCAATTCCCATTAACTTTGGCCATGTCGACACTGAGAGATAAGGACAAATTTATTAAGGTTGAATTTTAGCACCTGATTTTGTAAAGTCGAAGGTGCATGTCCTCACTGTGTGCAAGAATTTGATGTGGTTTGAAGTAGCATATCCCAGTAGGGTGGCTACTGTCACCTTTGGAAGTGACGCATGATGGGTAGCTATTCCATAATGCCTCTGCCCCTTTGCATTCTGGGTTATGCTCCCAGTGCACGCTGGGACCAAAGCTGTGCAGCACATTGCTCTGAGTACGTCATCAGCATCCCATAAAGAACTCATCTCCTCCTTGTTTTTTCATGCCTTTTTTACACTGGTTATCCATGCAGATGCCATAACAGTGTAAGCATAGAGCTATCATGGATCCCATTGAGCATGAAAGCATTACAATGATGATATTAACCATGGTGCGCCTAATTCTGGAGTATGTCCAGAGCATATTCAGGGTCCACCAGAATGAGGAAGAATCTTGGGAGACCATGAACATACTCTTCTGCAAAGCTCTTGAGTTGAGCAACTGACAAATGCTGCTGGCATTCAATCCTCTAGATATAGTGGGACTTCAGTTCTCTTGTCATCAGACAAGCACAGATTGATAAGACCACATTGTGATGCAGGTATGGGATGATCAGCAGTTGCTGCAAAACTTCCATAGGCATAAGACCACTTTCATGGAAGTTTGTGAATGCCTTTTGCTGCCCTGAAGTGCAAGAATATCATATGAGACCCGCTCTGACAGTGGAAAAACATGTGGCAATTGCCCTCTGGAAACTTGCAATGCCAGACAGCTACGAGACAGTTGGGAATCATTTTGGAGTGGGGAAATCTACAGTGGGGACTGTTGTGATCCAAGTGGCCAGTGGGAAACATGGAGGACATAGTAGAGATCTTTGCCATAGTGGGGTTCCCTAACTGTGTTGTGGTAATAGATGGAACACATCCCCATCTTGGCATCCGACCACCTTGTCACAGAGTACATAAATTGCAAGGGGTACTTCTTGATAATGCTACAGGCACTAGTGAATCAAAAAGGCCGTTTCACTGACATAAACATGTGATAGTTGGGAAAGGTGCATGACAGGCACATCTTTAAGAATTCCTGTCTCTTCAAAAAGCTACAAGCTGGAACTTTCCAAACTGGAAAATTAACATCAGAGGCACTGAAATGCCAACAGTGAACCTTGGAAACCCAGCTTATCCCTTGCTTCCATGACTCATGAAGCCATACAAGGGCAGCCTGGACTGCAGTA